TCCCTCCTGACTACCTCAAACCATCCGCACCATTAATCACAACGTTTTGCAATCTGATTTCAAACATACTATTCAACAACTTACTAATCAAAAATAGAACTGAAGACATGTTGCCATGTATGAAACAAAACCAGCACATCTGGCAGTGTCAGAACACTGCAGTTATAAACCCAGTTGTGTAAACAAAACTGTACTTTTAGGCAACAAAATAGGATGGATTTATTTTTTTTCCCTCCAGTGGAAAAGACATTCTCACAGATGACATTTGCCTTGCTGTTTACAGCTAGTGGGCACCTCAACACTTCTAAAAGCCCTAAACTACACATGTTTAAATTCCTAAGCTACTTGGGAGAAAAAACCCTATGTGTTCTTTCCAGTGCAGTAAGAAAATATATTGCATCTGGTGGGGGCTCCAGTCAGCCATGCAGAATACCTTTACTTTTAAACAATGTCTGAAGTGCACAATTTGGACTAGAGTCTAAAATGCAGTTTCTCCAGCTTCCATCATGACCACAGGCCCTATCACCCCATTCAGAAATCAGCAGGTAAAGATCTGCTGAAGGATCCAGAAGTTCAAGCAAGCCCATCTGGGATCCAGCTGGGAGATAACGGAGGCATTCTTGGAATGGCTGTTTCCCCTGCCCCCTCTCTTTGCACAGCTTCACTCTTGACAGGAGCCTGGGACAGCCAAGCTGGGCAGAAGGGACATGGGGCATCCACAGAGCAGCTATGACAGGCTGGAGCTCTGACCACAGGGCTCTGCTGGGGAGAACCTCAGGAGATGGCTCAGTGGGGGCTCGTCCCAGGAGCTGCACCAGCTGCACAGGGCTGAATGGCACCCAGGTGAGGAGGACACAGGTTTGGAGCATCTCCTGCAGCTGCTTCAGCCTCCGAGCAGCTCTGCACCATCACGGCCCAAGCTGGCAGCCCATCTCGTGGGTGAGGGCTGGCTGACCTCCTGACAGCCAGAAAGAGAACATCCCTGATTTAGAGGCCAGCTGGAGCTGGGCTGAAGCCCTCCTGGTGGCACCAGCGTGGTCCCAGCAGTCACAGCCCCTCCAGGCCCAGCCCACCCCAAGGCTTCAAGGTGCAGATGGGGGTGCCACAAGTGGCAGTTCCTCCTCAGGGTTTTTCAGCACTGACCTCCACCCCAGGCCACAGCAGACAACACCTCTGTGCCACAGCAGACCACTTGCTTCCTTCATTACCAAAAACAAACCAGAAACCAGCCAGCGACACCAGGTGTCTGTTACAACTTTGCAGCAGAGTAATAACACCGAGTGTAAATGTTGCCCACTGAACTCCAGCAGCGAAACCATCAGTTAAGAGGAAACAAAGCAGCCACACAGAAGAGAGAAACAAGTATATAAAAACATCCCCTTTCCTCTCCCTTTTTTGCTCCACTGACCATCCTCCCTGTGTTTACCCATCACTAACACGTTAGAAGTGATAACGAGGAGAACCGTGTTTTGTCCCTTCCCTCATTGGCCAGACCTTCCCTCTAGCTCTACTCTTGGACCAAGCCTGTCCTGGGAAAACAAAGTGAGACCTTTCCTGTTCAGTAACAGACAGGGAAGTCTGAAAGCAGAGGGCAGGGGAAGCCCCCATGGTGCCCTGAGCTGTTGCACAGCCTGGCATCATCCCTGGCCCTGGGGAGCAGCCCAGGCTCTGTGAGTGACTGGAGAGATTTCCCTTAGCATTTGTATTCAAACACTGGGGTTTATTCCAAAAGTTATTGGTTGAAGGCTGAGCTTTCTCATTTTCTGCATGACTATGTACCTTACAGAGCTTTTGGCACAGCAGTGTCTGACTTCTTTAACACTAACATGTCTGTGTCCACTGCTCTTCTCAAAGGGCTTTGGTGTCTTTGGGCAGAAGCACTTTCTCCTGCACAGAGATTCCTGGGCAGGCCCACCAAGGCAGCAGCACACCAGCTGCTCTGCAGCCCTGTTAGGACATCCCACTGCCAGGGCACAGGCACCTCCAGCCACCTGCCGGGGCAGAAAGGATCTTGGTTAAAATAACCTAGGAATGAAGTCAGGGTAACACAGAAGAAGCCCAGTTCCTGCAAACTAACCCTGCACTTCGACACCCAGCCCCTGTTCATGGAGAACACTGTCATGAAACCCCTGCCAGCAACAAGCAGCACAAAAGAAGCAGATACCCAGGTCGACTCTGTCCTCAGAGCTGTGTGTTTTCACACATGGTTCTAGAAAACCAAAGCCAACCACCAGCTGAAGCCCAGCCCCGGGTGCTGCTGCTGGGACAGGTGATGCCACCTGCAGCCACGCTGCAGAAACCCAGAACCAACCAACCCTCCTGCCCTGGGAGAGCCTCCTGCTGCAAGTCCTCCCATCCTTTCCCACCCACTCTGGATGCACTTACAACACAGCCCTTGGGAGCAGCACAGGCTGAGCTGATGCAGGTGGGCACGGGGAGCTGAGGCCAGGCCCCTGTCCCCTCTGGAGGCTCCTGTGGTGGCTGCAGGTCCTGCCATGGCTGGGTGGGACGTGCACCTGGCCCTTCAAGGCTGCTCCTCACCTCCAGGTGCTCTCCCAGCCCCAGGCCAGCTTCTCCAAGCCACATGCTGAATCTGCATCAGAGAGTTCTCTACCAAATCCACTCTGAGGTGCCTGCACCAGGGGTCGAACCACACACGTTATCACTCCTCTTGAGAGGCAGTGGAGGTGAGCTGGCTTTGAGACATGTCTTGGGAAAGCAGGGGTAGTTTAAAGACCAGGGAGCCCGTGCACTAGGGCAGGTACTACCAGTCCCAGAGGCTCACTAAGGCACCCACCACAGGTGGCAAGGGACAACCAACACAGGACAAGCCCTGCAGCAGCACCCTGTGACAGGCCAGAGGAAAAGGTGACATTACACATGGACAGAACACACAGATGCTTTACACCAGCATGGTCCAAGCACAGCAAGTCCTGGCACAGCCCCTGCTCAGCACTGGAAGCAGCAGCAGCAAAGATGATGGACGAGTTACCGACCCAAGAGCTGCTTCCAGGCCTGCTCAGACCAGCCAAGAGCTCCAGTGCTGGAGCCTTGCTCTGGTGCCTCTACTTTACATTTCCTCAGCCAGACAAAGACCTGAAATCAGGACTGGGATTTCTCAGCACAAGACCTTCCTTTCTGGCCATGCAGGACCAAAGAAGAAGACAGCGCAGGCTGAGCAAGGCTCTGGAAGCAGCAGTTTCCCAGGGCAGGGAGGCACCTACAAGGGCAGCCGAGGCAATGGCACCCTGATTGCTGCTCCCCGGGGTGCAGGCACAGCAGGAACCCCTCTGCCATGGCAGGAATCTCTCCAGCTCATCCCTCCCTGGAGGAGCAGGACTCAGCCAGGAGAGGCTGTTTGTGCAGAGCCCAAACTCTCCTGCTGTGTGGATGGTGGGAGGCAGGGCTGTGCAGAAAGGCCAGCAAGCAAGGAACACTGCCACTGTCACAGCTCCGACTTGATCTCTTCCAAATGTTTAGAGCAAAGGGCTCAAGAGAAAATTAAGTAATTTTCTCCAGCGCTGAAACACGAAATCAGAGGTTTTGCAACCACCAGGTCAAGCGCTCGGAGGACAGAGAGGCCTCCCCTGCTCCTCTGTAAATAGCAGTTTTCCCCCAAGATTCTAGAACCCCATCTGGGGGGCAGAAAAGAAATAAGCATAGCATTTTATCTCTACATTTCCAGAGCGTGACCATGATGAGTATCTCCCTTCTGTTGTCAACCAAAAGATAAAATCTCTAAATAATCCTAATTCCTGCTCTACGTAACAGGTGAGATGAGATACAGGGGCACGGACCCCCCAGCTGCCAGGTTCCACCTAGGCTGGCTGCTCTGGATGCTGGTGGGAATGGCCCTTCCCCTGGCAGCCTCCAGCATCTGCCCCGAGGCCACCACAGCAACACCCCCAGGGTCTGCCCTCCTGCCTCCTGTAGGACACAGCAAGTGCTTCCAGTAACAGCCTTTTAAATTCTGGGAACACTACCTGAGAGCAGCTGAAATCCAGTTAGAGCTGTAAATTTTGTGTTCACGTGCATCCTTCTTACCTGCAGCATCTCCCACTGATACAAGTATATAAAAAGGCATCATTTGAGAAAATAGTATATTCTACATCTTTTTCAAAAAAAGCCTGGATTAAACACAAATCTTGGAAATAAGATCCAGACAATTAAACCTGAAAATAGTATAAATATTTGGGTTTTTTTAAAAGCACTGAATCCACTCCAACACACAGTTTTGAGTCTGGCAGACTCAAGTACTCCCCCAGCTGTGTAACACACAGAGTTCCTGGAAGTGCCCATCTTCTTCCTCCTTCTAACTGGGGCCAGGAATCTTACACTGTGCTGGACCTGCTGGGCAGGAATCAATGACACTGATCTAGCACCAAAGAAAAGCTGCTAAAATGAACTGCAGAACCCCTAAGTTCAAGAGAGGCTAACAAGATTGCTGAAACAGCACCAGCCAGAGACATCCCCCCCAGTGACTCAGAGAGTAGTTTGAGTTGGAAACAACCTTTAGGATCATGGAGTCCAACAGTTACCCCAGCCTGCCAAGCCCACCACTAACCCATGTCCCTCAGCACCACATCTACAGGGCTTCTATGTCCTTCACCCCTCTTGCCCCCCAGAGAAGACTCTAAGTGCTGTGTGACCCTACAACTCAGCACCTTTCCAAACCTCCCTGGTCTGAATTCTTACCTGAGCCACCTAAAGCAGGTCTTTCAAATTGCATGCAGAGACCTTTGAGACTGCCAAACTTCAGCCAGTGCAAGGTCTCTGTTGTCTCTTTGTGAAGCACCAGTGAACAGTCCCAGCTCCTCACTGGAAGCTGCTGTACATGGCAGATCCATGCACCATGGAATGTCCCTGGCTCAGCAGACATCACCTTCCTCACACCTACACTGATGCCAGTTCAAGTCACAAACTCCCTTAAGCTATTCCAGGCCCAAACAATCTGTGGGGTTACCAGTCTCTTCCCTTCAGACACTTCCTTTTGCCTTCACATTTCACGCCCTGTTGGAAACCAAACACAACACCTGGAGCATCTCTAGGAGGTGCAAGAAACGCCTTCCCCCAGAGCTGCAGGTTAGGTTTTCCTGCCTGAACCAAGCAGGGGGAAAGCAGGTCCCTTCTCACAGCCAGCCTTTAGACCCCCCAGCCTCTGCCTCTGCTGGCAGTGCCCGTGGCACAGCCCTGCCGCCCTCCCGGGGCCTGGGCACTCACCGAGGGGCAGGCGGAGGGTGATGTTGTTGCAGAAGTCGGTGTAGCAGCACTCGGTCTTGGTGATGTTCCTGGAGCTGTGGCAGAAGACCTGGGCGTTGAGCTCGGGGAGGGAGACGCAGGACTTGACCACCTCCTCCCGCCCGTCGGTCAGCATGACGGACGCCCAGCAGGCGCCCTCGGTCTGGCAGGTGAAGTTGGTGTGCTCGCACAGCTGGCACACGCACCGCAGGCCTGGAAAACAGGGGCGCCAGCTCTCGTGAGAGGACCCCGGGCAGGCAGACCCCTCCCCGCAGCCGGCAGGCAGCCTCGCCAGCTGGGTCTCCACCAGCACCCCCAGCAGCTCCAGCACGGGTCCGTGCCCAGGCCCTCACCTCTGCTGGTGAAGGGAGGAAGCCAGTCCTGGGAGGCCCCCGAGAGCACTGGCCCCCAACACCCACAGGTGATGAGTTTTTAAACCAAGCGGTCCCTGGTCACAGGAAAGGGTACAGCATCTATCTCACGTGGTGGAGAAGACTGACCACCCCGAGCAGAAGTTTCTCTGGGAGCTGCCTCTTGCCCAGGCGGGGAGACAGGGGTTCAGGGCTTCAAGCTTATGTCCCCAGCTCCCACAGACTCAGGACAACAGCTCAGACAACACTCCAGGCAAACACAGGGGCACGTACTCCATTGCCAGGTAGGTGTTCAGACACAGCTGCTCCCATGACACATGGGATTCTCACTAGCACCAACAGCCACCCCTGCCCAAACGTGACCACCCCCAGCAGTGCCAGCCCCAGCACAGCTCAGAGTCTGAGGAACCATCAGGATGCAAAGTCCCACCCACACCACTGACAGACTGACACGGGCTGGAAGGATGGACTTCTCCTGCCCTCACCTTCCAAGATGAGACACGTTTTTCAGCCACATGAACAGCTGCCCAGTTCCTTTTGGTGAACCTCAGATGACTTCTAAGCTTTGCATCTTTTAAACTAAATCTTCATGTTTCACCAAATCAAATAGAAACACATTTAATTACTACTACATGTTTCAGGCTTTACTGACTCTTCCCTGGAAGATGAGGAGGAAACCAAACCCACATCATCTCAGTAAAACACCTGATGCCAACTATATATGTATATATTTTTAATTATTTTTTTCCCTGCCTTGTTTTCTTCACCTGCTTCATAACAATCTGGTTTTACTTGCTTCATGCCAAGTTTAGGAGCCCGTATTAGCAGGGATACAATAAGCAAGACATCTTAACCTTCAGCTGAAAGCAATTTCCACAGGAAACACTTCCTTAACTGCACTTTATACAATAGTTTCTGAAGGAAAAAAAAAAAAACCCTCTCATTTTAGAGTACAGAGACTTGATCTCCTCAACTTTTGACTTGATCAGTTATTGTCCCATCACAAGGTCCCCAAAATGTCTTCTGTCTACCTTTCTAGGTCAGTTTTAACTCTGCAAGATTGAGAAACACCATCCCAAAGAGAGTGTGGGTCTCCACCAGCACCCCCAGCAGCTCCAGCACGGGTCCGTGCCCAGGCCCTCACCTCTGCTGGTGAAGGGAGGAAGCCAGTCCTGGGAGGCCCCCGAGAGCACTGGCCCCCAACACCCACAGGTGATGAGTTTTTAAACCAAGCGGTCCCTGGTCACAGGAAAGGGTACAGCATCTATCTCACGTGGTGGAGAAGACTGACCACCCCGAGCAGAAGTTTCTCTGGGAGCTGCCTCTTCCCCAGGCGGGGAGACAGGGGTTCAGGTCTTCAAGCTTATGTCCCCAGCTCCCACAGACTCAGGACAACAGCTCAGACAACACTCCAGGCAAACACAGGGGCACGTACTCCATTGCCAGGTAGGTGTTCAGACACAGCTGCTCCCATGACACATGGGATTCTCACTAGCACCAACAGCCACCCCTGCCCAAACGTGACCACCCCCAGCAGTGCCAGCCCCAGCACAGCTCAGAGTCTGAGGAACCACCAGGATGCAAAGTCCCACCCACACCACTGACAGACTGACACGGGCTGGAAGGATGGACTTCTCCTGCCCTCACCTTCCAAGATGAGACACGTTTTTCAGGCACATGAACAGCTGCCCAGTTCCTTTTGGTGAACCTCAGATGACTTCTAAGCTTTGCATCTTTTAAACTAAATCTTCATGTTTCACCAAATCAAATAGAAACACATTTAATTACTACTACATGTTTCAGGCTTTACTGACTCTTCCCTGGAAGATGAGGAGGAAACCAAACCCACATCATCTCAGTAAAACACCTGATGCCAACTATATATGTATGTATTTTTTATTATTTTTTTCCCTGCCTTGTTTTCTTCATCTGCTTCATAACAATCTGGTTTTACTTGCTTCATGCCAAGTTTAGGAGCCCGTATTAGCAGGGATACAATAAGCAAGACATCTTAACCTTCAGCTGAAAGCAATTTCCACAGGAAACACTTCCTTAACTGCACTTTATACAATTGTTTCTGAAGGAAAAAAAAAAAAACCCTCTCATTTTAGAGTACAGAGACTTGATCTCCTCAACTTTTGACTTGATCAGTTATTGTCCCATCACAAGGTCCCCAAAATGTCTTCTGTCTACCTTTCTAGGTCAGTTTTAACTCTGCAAGATTGAGAAACACCATCCCAAAGAGAGTGTCTGGAGGAGCAGAGAAGCCCCGACAGATGTCAGTGCCAATCCAATTTCTGTTCCTGTGATGCTACTTGTTTTCTTTACAACAACCTTCATCCTGTGCTCCCCTTCTGAAATAACAGCTTGGAGTGTTTATCTGCAGCTCAGGCCCACAACAAACTTCCCTGGCACCATATGTTCGTGTTTATCCTGGATGCAGGGTGTGCCAGGAACAGCATCCCTGCCTGCTCGGGCCTTCCCTGGGAATGGGGAGTGAGCACAACCAGTCCCCAGCAACGGGGCAGTCTCTGCCCTAAGGACATCACTGGGCTCCTAGCAGAGGTGCCAGGAGCAAGGCTGATCAGCTCCAAGTAAACAGGGGATCTGGCAGCAGAAAGCAGACCCATCATCACCCCTGCTGCAAAATAAAAGCATCACTTGAGGAAACGGGGACCGGGCTGTCCAAGTGCCTGCAGCGTTTCAGACACCTCACTGTGCTGGTTTTCTGCCCTCTCCTCACGGCCTAAAAATGAAATGGGAAACAGTCTGTAAGATGCCATCCACATCAGACAACTGGCAGATTTATCCGTCTTCTGGTGTTCTGTGCACTGCTTGAGAGGGGAGCTGGTCCAGCCTGTCACTGCAAGCCCTGAGCAGCTCCACGGATGTTCCTCGGAGCACCAGGAACACGGGGCAGGAGAAAGATGGCTAAGGGCTCTTTGAGCCCACTTTGGCCAAGCCAAGACTGTCCCTTGTCCCTAGAGGGCAAGGACCCTGCAGCCCTCCAGCCCCCTGCACCCAGAGAGCCCCTTCCTTGGCAGGGGAACCATGGACAGACCCTGCTGAGCATCCCTGTTTCCCACCCCTACAGCCAGAGCCGTTTACTCTGCTGGTCGTCCTTTCTTCTGCCCACATCACTGACAGAAAGATTCTGGCCCCCATTTTTCCTATTAGTTGGTCAAAATGGACCAGTCCAATTTACTGCCCACAGCTGGAGGAAGTCAGCCCTGATCCCCACAGAGCCACTTCTGCTGGAAGCCATTAATGCAAAGAAGAACAAAAAGAAACAAAACCGGTCAAAATTCTCAATACAGCCCAGAATTATCATTGAAAGTGAACAGATTCAGCCACCTGATGACACAATGGGAGGAGCAGGGATGGGAGCATGTTGAACTTCCAGATAATTTTAGTGCCCACTGTAGACTAGAGAGTCCTGGAGACAGAGAAGGCTTGGCAAGCCTTCCCCCTTCTCCTTCAGAAAGACTGAGCTGCCAGGAGTCACATCGGTCCGGCCACCAGTGCTGTATTCCCTTTGGAAGGGGCAGAGGAGCACACAAACCTCTGTGCACACTCAAAAACTCTGCATCCTAAACCACATGTCAATGCACATTTGTCCCACCACACTTGAACTGTTGCCTTTTTGAGTCATTCCTTTCAAAACCAGCTGCAAACCACAGCCCTGGCACCGCTACCAGCAACGCGGTGCCCGGGGGAGAAGTCGGGGCTTCCTCCGCTGTGGAAACCAGGGAAGGGGAACAAGGAGCCACAGGGAAAAGGATCAAAGAGGCGGGAGGAAAACGTGCTCCCAGAGTTTCAAAACAAGGCGCTCTCTAGTCCAGTAACAAACACCACAAGAACATCTCACTCGAAACGCTGCGTCCTCTGGTTGGGAAACTAGGAGAAAGTGAAGCAACGGAGCAGGCGCCCGAGCTCGGCCACCCGTGGCTGCAGCTCCCCCAGCACCTCCTGCTCCAGCAGCCGTGGGCAAATCTGTCCTGAACCTCCCCAAGGCAGCGCAGCCCACGGAGGATGCACCCACAGGGATGAGGACATGGCAGGGCACGGGGCAGGAGGAGAGGACACAGCCCAGGCTCCCTTGGGCAGGGGCAGCAGCGGGAGCTGCGCGGTCCCTCGCAGCTCCCACAGAGCCACTGGGCATGACACAAGGGAAGAACTGGAGAAGCCAACGCCCACCCAGGCAACCTTGATTCACAGTTGTCAGATACACAAGGAAAGCAACTTTTAGGTACAGACACCACAAGGAACAGCTGTTCCCTGCCTGTGGCATTTATAAGACATAAACACTTACCAAGGATGTTTGGGTTTTTTCTGCTGTTTCTACAACAGGAGCTGAGACCATATAACAGGCTATTGGATGAGACTCACTACGAATCAAGGACAGAATGAGTTGAAAATAACCTGCATGACTTATAGAAAAAGCAATGTTGGGTTTTTTCCCTTTAGTTTTCAGCACAGCCCTGATAAGGCTCACGGTGCAGGCAAACGCTGCCCAGCTCGCCTGCCGAGCAGGAAGGAATGAACCTGCCTCCAATTCACAACAAATCAGCACAACAAAACTGCACAACAGATTTCTTTTTTATGTACTTCCACCATTTTTTTTCCCTCAAGTGTCAGCCTCAAACACCTGAATCACTAGGTAACTGAGGAACAAGAATGATACATATGAAAACCAGGTGGAAGAAGATGGGTTTAGACACCACTTGAATGAAAGCAACTAACAATTCAAGCAAGTAAGCAACTTCAAAAGTTAAACAGAAAGAACTGAACATGCAATTGACATAAACTGGCTAATACTGTGGGATTAAAAGAATAAACT